GGGGGGAAGGAGGAAAGTGAATGAGCGCTCAAGAAAGACAAAGAGGGAGGGGAGAGAAAGGGAGTTACCACCGTCTTGGCATCGCTCTTCCTTTCAAACCTCTGTGTAATGATATTGTTTGCAGTGATGCTCAGACAGCGAGCACCTGCTGCTCTGTAATGATTCAGCCTCTTTCAGCCGCCGCTGTAACACGACAGGATGCTGCTGCTACTGTCACTTCTGCCGCTGCCGCTGTTGTTACAGATTTTGCTTTTGCTCCTTCTACTGCATGACAGTTGTTTTCCTCGTCTAAGCAGATACCAGCCTCAGATGCTCAAGGTGAGAGTCTTGCCTTTCGCTCTGGGCTATTGGTTCACTTAATCTGGTCAATTTGTTCGGCGTTCGTGGTTTTCTTTCTCTCATCACCCTCCTTCCCCCTGTTTTGTTTTGTTGTGCTTGCTTTTGAGGGGATGTTTCTTCCCTCCCGCAGAAGAGCTGGAATTGCTTGAGAGGCGTTTAAGGAATTATAAAAGTGGCCAGCAAACAGGAGCTCAGTAATTGTGAGGCTACTCTTGCTTCAGAGAGGCAGAGAGCGCGACAGAGGGCTTGGGATCGGGGGGAGCAAGGGGGGTCTCATTTTTCCTGTGCGTTACTCCTCTCCCAGTTTGGATGATGTTGCTGAGCTTGGACCTTTTGTTGACTCCCACTCTGTGATTTTTGCAGAGCACTGTGACTATTACTACCATCTCTTTTTGTCTGTGTCTCACAGTAATGGACTGTGATAGAGTTAAGGCCTTTTGGAGGTGAGCTGTTTGAGAGCTGATGCTTAAACATGTCTGAAGTAGCTGCTGACACTTTCCCCAGCCCCTCAGCTCAGCTGAGCCCTGATGTGTCCCTCGACGGGCTCCCGGCTGAAGAGAACATGCCGGGGACCCAAAGAGAGGACAGGAGGGTCCAGGGGATAGCAGGCCTTGCCGCGACCTGCTGTGTGTGCCTGGAGGCAGAGCGACTGAAGGGCTGCCTCAACTCTGAAAAGATCTGCATCGCCCCTATCCTGGCTTGCCTGCTCAGCCTTTGCCTCTGCATTGCTGGTCTCAAGTGGGTCTTTGTGGACAAGATTTTTGAGTATGACTCTCCTACCCACCTTGACCCTGGGAGGATAGGACAAGACCCAAAGAGCGCTGTGGATCCTACAGCTCTGTCTGCCTGGGTGCCTTCGGAGGTGTATGCCTCACCCTTCCCTGTACCTAGCCCCAAGAGCAAGGCTGAAGTGACAGTGCAAAGTGACAGCTCGCTCGTGCCCTCCAAACCGTTCCTCCAGCCTTCTCTGTATAACCGCATCCTAGATGTTGGGTTGTTGTCCTCTGCCGCACCTTCGCTGTCACCACCCGCCCTGGAGCCTACCACAGCGTCTCAGGCGCAAGCAACAGAAACCAATCTCCAAACTGCTCCAAAACTTTGTAAGTAGACACTATGTGTTTTTTTGTTTTTCCTTCCACCAAAAAAAAAAAAAGGCACTTAAATGTTCTGCAGCAGTCCTTCAGGAGGACATGTGATTGGCATGCAACGTTTAAATGTGCTAAGGCAGGTATAGCATGGGTTACCTTCTGAGGAGAGCACCTAGGGGCCTTTGAACCTAGTTCTGAGGTGTGCATGGCAATGAAGAGGGCTTTATTTGGGATCTTTGTAAAGCACCAGTACCACCCTTTTCTCTGCATCCACTTATAGGGAAGTATGTGATTTACTTCAAAGGTTTATCTGGTAGCTATTCCACGTGGTCTATCAGCATATTTTTCTTATAAATTTGATTTGCGTCCTGTGCTGGATCTTCCATGTGTGTTCATTTTCTTTGCCTTGCCTGCAGAGCACTTCTCCTACCTCCTTCCTGAAGTCTGTTGCTGGCAAACATCCCTGTCATCCTCCTGAAACACTCAGGGAGAAGAGTGGGAAAGAGGGATA